CCAAATATTCATCCTCATCACAGGAACGTTGAAAACCAAACAGAAGCTGTCAGAATGCTGGAAAACAATGATTCATAGCAATCAAAGGAATGGTAAATAGAAAGGGGAAAAAAAAGCAATTTCAGAGCAGTGGGGAACTCTTGTGGATTTTAACTTTTTGCTTTATTGTGGATGTATACATAGCAAAGTATTTTCCATTTTAATGAATTTTAAGTGTACAACTCATTGACTTTACTGCCTTCTCCGTGTTTTGCAGCCATCACTGTATCCATTTCATAATGGTTTCTCTCACCCAAATAAAACTTGAGAATCCCTTAAGCAATAACTTCCTCCTTATCCTTTCCCAGCTCCTAGTACAACTAATGGACTTTGTCTCTCTGCATTGTAAAGACATTTTATTTTATTTTATTTTTTAATCATTTTATTGGGGGCTCGTACAATTCTTATCACAACCCATACATACATCATTGTGTCAAGCATATTTGTACATTTGTTGCCATCACCATTTTCAAAACATTTTCTTTCTACTTGAGCCCTTGGTATCAGCTCTTCATTTCCCCCCCTCCCTCCCTCATGAACGCTTGATAATTTATATATGGTTATTTTTCATGTCTTTCACCCACTTTTCTGTACAACTCTTATAGCACTGAGAATTCTATAAAGTAATGGAAAATCTTATTGACTGCCTGGGGCAAAAGACCATCGGAAGCCATAAAGGCAGCCAGAAAGAGAGTATATTGGGGGATGTAGAAAGCCATGTGCATGCCCAGGACAGGGTGAATACTCAGGAAAGCCTTCACCGGTGGCTGACCTCTGGACAGTCCAAGCAGGAAGTGAAGACAGAGACACAGTTCTACAGCGCTGGCTGAATGTTCAAAGCACAGGACCAACATACAAAGAGGTTTTTAACTTGTTTGCTTTTTTCCTGTTGCTCTGTTTGCTTAGCTTGGCGTCCAAGGAACTCTCTGTCAGGCCTCGTATTGAACACAAGCTCCATCGTCAAAAGTCCGAGACCTTTCACGGCAGAGACAGAAAATCCATCCTTCAGATGTGTATGGCATTGCTAGCAACTTTGAATCACCAACGCCATCTTGAAAAAGAACAACAGAGTCAGAGAATCGCATTTCCTGACCACGAGCAGAGGCTTAAAGCATGAATCCTGACATCATATAATACAGAAAAGCTAACTGAAAATGCATTAAAGAATGAAGTGTGGAACTGAACACAAAACTCAGAGGGGAGGAACAAACTTGAGTGATGTGTCGGGCCCCACGCATCAAGTCGTAAGGCACTCAAATGAAACTGGGGGACCTGCCTCCTCCAAGTTAGTTGTCAGGCACCGTCAGCTCCCCTCCAACTCACAGCAACCAAGCGCACAGCAAAAGGAAGCAGCAACCGGTCCTGCACATCCTCACAGTAGTTGTTACTGTTGAGCCCATTGCTGCAGATACGGTGTCTATCCATCTCCTGGAAGGCCGTCTTCTTTATTACCGATCCTCCTCTTTACCAAGCATGATTTCCTTTTCAAGGGACTAGTCTCTCCGAATAACCTGGCCAAAGGCATGATACAACGTCTCACAACCCTCACGTCAAAGGATCATTCTAGCTAGGCTTCTTCCAAGAAAACATTTGTTCTCACGGCAGTCCGTAGTACTTTGAATAGCCTTCAATGAACCGACTTCAAATGCATCAATTCTTCCTCGGTCTTCTTTATTTGCTGTCCAGCTTTCACATGCAGATGAGGACACCGGAAATGCCATGCTTTGGGTCACTTAGTCTCAAGTGACAGCCTTGCTCTTAAAAACTTTAAAGAGGTCTTGTGTAGCAGATTTCTCTGCAATATTTTGTTTGATTCCTTTTTGTTTGTTTTTAAAGATCGTTTTATTGGGGGGGCCCTTACAGCTTTTATAACCATCCATATATCAATTGTATCAAGCATATTTGCAAATATATTGCCATCATTATTTTCTAAGCATTTAGTTTCTATTTGAGCCCTTGATGTCAGTTTCTCTTCTTTCCCTCCCTATCCCCCACCCACCCTCGTGCCTCCTTCATAAACTATAAATTATTATTTTCATATTTTATACCAACCGCTTTCTTCCTTCACCCACCTTCTTCCCCCCCTTCTCTCCCCACCTTCCCCCTACCCTCCTGGTACTGCTACTCCCATTTCTATTCCTGAGAGGTTTGTCTGATGTGGATTCCGTGTGTCATGACCTCTTATCTGCACCTATGTGCATGCTCCGGTCTAGCCCACAGTGAAAGGCAGGATTGGGGTCATTATTGTGGGGGGTAAGGAAGCCTCAAGGAACCAGAGGAATATTGTGTGTTTCATTGGTGCTATACTGCAGCCTGGTTGACTCATCCCTTCCTTGTGACCCTTCTGTAAGGGGAGTCCCGTTGTCTAAAGATGGGTTTTGGGTCTCTACTCTGACTCCCATGGTTCTCAACAATATGCTTTGTTTGTTTTGGGTCTTCTGATGCCTGTTACCCAATCCCATTGACACCTTATGATCGCACAGGCTGGTGTGCTCCTTCTGTGTGAGCTTTGTTGTTTCTGAGCTAGATGGATGCTTGTTTACCTTCAAGCCTTTAAGACCCCAGATGGTATATCTTTTGATAGCCAGGCACCATCAGCTTTCTTCACATTTGCTTGTGCACCCATTTGTCTTCAGCGACCGTATCATGGAGGTGAGCACACAGTGATATGCTTTTGTGTTCTTTGATGCCTGATAACTGATCCCTTCAGCACCTCATGATCACACAGGCTGGTGTACTTCTTCCACGTGGGCTTTGTTGCTTCTGAGCTAGATGGCCGCGTGTTTACCTTCAAACCTTTAAGACCCCAGACACTGTATCTTTTAATAGCCAGACACCATCAGATTCCTTCACCACATTTGCTTATGCACCCATTTTGTCTTCAGTGATCATGTAGGGTTATTTGTAGCATTGAGGGCCTGCCTCCTTTTCACTATCCTTCTACTTTACCAAGCTTGATGTCCTTCTCCATGAGACTGGTCTCTCCTGATAACGTGTCCAAAGAATGTAACACAAAATCTTTCCATACTTGCCTCTATGGAGCAGTGTGGCTATATTTCCTCCAAGAAAATTTTGTTTGTCTTCTTGGCTGTCCATGTTTACTTTCAATATTTTTTGCTAGCGCAACAATTCAAAAGCATCAGCTCTTGTTCTATCTTCCTTATTCAATGTCCAACTTTCACATGCATAGGAAGCAATTGAAAATACCATGTCTTGAGTTCGGTTCACCTTAGTCCTCAAAGCAACCTCTTTGCTTTTCAACATTTTCACAAAGTCTTGTGCATCAGATTTGCCCAGTGCATTGCATCATTGGATTTCTTGCCTGCTGCTTCCATGAGCATTGACTGTGTATCCAAACAAGACAAAATCCTTGACAGCTTCAATATTTTCTCCATTTATTATGATGTTACCCCTGGGTCCAGTTGTGCGTATTTTGACCTTCTTGACATTGAGTTGTCATCCATACCAAAGGCTGCAGCCCTTTAGCTTCATCAGCAAGTGCTCCAAGTCCTTCTCACTTAAAGGAAGCAAGGTGATACCATCTGCATAGCTCAGGTTTTTAATAAGCCTTTCTCTCATTTTTATACCCATGTGAACTTTACATTAAAGTTTTGGACGTGTTACATTAAAAACAAAAATTAATTGAAGAAGCAAGCATGAGTCTATATCGAAATTTAAGAGATAAAACTTCTGGAAGGAAACAGGAGCAAATCTTCATGAGCTTGGATTTGGCAACGGGTTCTTCATACGGACAGCAAAAGTAGAGGCAAGAAAATGAAAAAGAGATCATTGCACTTCAAAGATAAGGAAGAAGAAACTGACTGCTGGCCAGCGGAGCAAAGAGAAGCTCAACGTGTCCACAAACTATCTCAGACTTGACCTAACAGAGGAGGACATCATCAGAAACATGGATCATCTCAGAAATGTGGCTGCTGCTGCTGCAGCTTCGGTGTTGCTGAAGACGAAACTCTCACGCTTGTTTGTAAGGTCTTCCTTGTGACAAAAGAGCACCAGAGCAAAGAATGAATCCCTTCTGTTGTTCTTCTAGAGATAGATATGTGCATCGTCCATGCTGTACCGCCCCCTGGATTACCATTCCTTCCGTGTGCCCTTCTGAGAGGGCCCTTCAGTCAGCCTCTGACTCATGGAGATAGCATGTGCAACAGGGTCAGCCCTGCTCCAGCCCATGACCAGCTGTGGACTGGATCATCGTTCCACTGGGTTTTTATTAAATAATTTTTGGGAGTAAATTGTGAAACCTTTCTTCCTGACCTTCTTAGGCTGGAAGGTCCAGTGAAACCTGTGGAGCAGCATAGCAGCAGGCAAGCCCCTACTGCACACGGCCGCACATCAGCTAGGAATTGAACGTAGGCCTCCTGAATAGAAGCAGATAATTGTACTATTGAACCACCTCAGCTTCTTAAAGAGATTCTAATATATTTAAATCGAACCCAATCAAAACCAGGCTTTCTTTGATACTGCCTAGTCCCAAGCTCTTTAAAGGCTGAGGGCTACTCAGACTTTCTGTAAAACCTGTTGGTTCTGTGTTTCCGAGAAACCCTGTGACCTGCTTGTGTGGAAGAAATTGTCTCTTTCCTATCACTATGAGTATCTATAAAATAAACCTAACCGTTTTGAGAGGCAGAAGAAAAATGAGCAAAAGTGTTGGCACTAAAGACAGTCAACCTACCTTAATTCCTGGCTTGCCACTAACAGATGTCACATTGGGCAGAACACGTAACCTTCCTTGCTTACTTCTGTAGATGGGGCTAGATAAGCAGAATCATAGTCCATCTCTAAGGGTTGTTGAGAAGATTAAATTAGGATGTGTAATATGCTTGCACTGGTTTCTAGTTTGTGTCGTATGTCACCATTGCAATATATTATGTATTTAAGCTCCCCAAAGAGCAAGCTCTATAAAAAAGTAATGTTTTCCATGTTTTTCCTCTCTCGTTTTGCAGCAAAATTTATGTTATTCCTTTGCAGTGCAGTTGCCCCGTGGATTTTGAGTTCCACATAGCCTTGATTCAGACACATCAAGCCTTTACTATTGAGCCAACATCGGGTAAGGAAAGTTAAGGTTTTACATTTCCAAATACTTTGGCATTCTCAAATCAAACCGAGGATCTGGAAAGTCAGTGGTCTCAGTTCTAAAACCGAATAAGCAATATTTGAGTTTATGCACATTTTAATCAGACACTTCAGAAATGGAAACTTTGGAATAATTTGTATCGTGCAGATAATTTAAATAATGTCCAGTTATGTTTGCCCAACATTAGAATATGACATCAGAAATTAATCCATTCTAATTCTAATTTTCTGCACCTGTACCGCCTTGACTTTCTATTCACTTTTTAATTCAATTTCAAGAGAGACGAGAATTTTATTTCCTTCCAAATTTTCAGAATCTTAATGAGGAGTTTAATGAATTTTTCTCCCATGGGCTGTAAGCCATCCATCTGGGCATACTCCAGGGGACAGCAGTTCCCATGTGGCTCAGATCGGGCAAAAGTGAAAATTCCCCCTAAAGTGATTTCAGCCTCTGAGTTTCTATCTCCCAATGTTTAGGTTTGGGATTTAACTGTCTCTCCACAGTGGTCTCCAGTTAATCCTAAAAGAGCTATTTGTTTTAATTTTCTGGGTATAGCTCCATCCATTTACAATCATTTCATCTTTGCATGACTATTTTGTTCATCAAATGAATGTTCAAAGTAACTTTGAATTCATTCTATTATGAAATGTATATAGATTTTTACGGAGAACCACAGCCACTTTTAGATTTGCTAAATACAAGATAACGTCTATCCAGGTTGTATCAAACACGACTTTGTTTCCTTTCGGTGACAAGCCATTTATTGTTTTTAACTGTTGGGACTTGAAAACAAGAGAAAATAAGCAGCTACTAAAATTATGCTAAATGAGATAACATTTCTAATTAAGTACAGGTCCTCACACCTCGTTGTGTAGAGATGGGAACAAACTGGCCCTGAGAACCTGGACTAAATGTGTGTTCACGTCGACGACAAGACTTTGGGAGAGAGCCGGAGATTCTTTATGGCTTGACCATACTCCTCAGGAAAATGTGTCCAAGACACAAATTTAAACATTTTATTGGGGCTCATACAATTCATCACAATACATAGATCAATTGTGTAAAGCACACCTATACATTTGTTGCCCTCATCATGCCCAAAATTCGCTTTCCTCTTGGGTTCCCGGAATCAGCTCATTTTCCTTTTTTCCCCCTCCCTCTCCCTCCCCCATGAACCCTTAATAATTTATAAATTATTATTATATCTTATCTTACACTGCCCGGCGTCTCCCTTCACTCACCCCTCTGCTGCTCATCCCCCAGAGAGGAGGTTATATGTAGATCCCTGTGATCAATTGCCCCTCCCCCCCCCTTCCCTCCTGGTATCGCCACTGTCACCCCTGGTCCTGAGGAGTTCATCTGTCCAAGATTCCCTGCGTTTGCAATTCCCATCTGTACCGCTATGCACCCTCTGGTCTAACCAGGTTTGCAAGGCAGAATTGGGGTCATGGTAGTTGGGGAGAGGAAGCATTTGTGTTACCAGGATGCTATCTTGATCTTTTGCTGCTTATAAAAGTTCAAGATGAAAAATAAATAAATAAAAATAAATAAAAATAAATAAATAAAAGTTCAAGATGGCTGCATCACATTAGGCCAACTGACAATTCACCCGTCTGTCTCGCTACTTTGGTTAAGTTTCTTCTCCTAGTTGAAATTCAACCCATTTCTTTATCCTGTTCTCTGAAGTTCACAGTTCCGTGATTATCTTACTTATCTATTTCATTTGGTGTCTCTTATCTTTGTTGGAGAGGGTCTGTGAAGCATGTTTGCCGAATAGTAGGTGATTATGATATACCTATTTTGATCAAACCTGAGCAACAAGGGAGGAAAAAAACACACAGATGATTTAAGCAATACAACCAACCAACTTTACCTCATTAACATACTAAGAACACTCCCCCTAACAGCAGCACAAATGTATTCTTTTTCAGTTAACATGGATCATTATCTGAAATAAGCCTTATTTTAGACCACAAAGCAAGTCTCAATAAATTTAAATTTTAAAACATCAAAATACTACAAAGCATCTTCTCAAATCACAACACTATAAAATTAGAAATCAACAATAGAAAATTGAGAAAGGGAAAAAAGCAAATAGATGGAAACTGAATGGTGCACTGCTTAAAAACTAACAACAACAAAATCAGCCTTTGAAAAACCCTAGGAAGCACAATTCTACCTTGATACACAGGGAGTTGCCATGAATTGGAATCGACTCAGTGGCAAATATCTGTGAGTGTGTGTTTATATGTGACATACTTAAATAATTATTTTAAAAGATTAATGTAGAGATCCATGTAAACATTGTAGAAGTTGATTCATGTTTATGTAATGAGAATACTAGATAAAGATAACTGAATATATTCTATCAGCCTGTTAGATTGGAATTTGCAAGACAAGAGGATCATATTTTCTCATTTTTGTTCTCTCAGGAATAATTCCAGCTAATGGAAAGGTGAATGTGACTATCAAGTTTACACCATTTCAGTATGGAACGGCACAGATTAAGGTTCAGTTATGGATTTCACAGTTCAACTCTCAGTCTTACGAATGTGTTTTCACGGGGACATGCTATCCCAACGTGGCAAAGTAAGACTCTTTTGGAATGTTTTAGTTAGTCTTAATGCTTTTTTTCAGAACTCCAAATCCTTCTCTATTCCATTTTGGTTTTCTTTCTTGTTACAGAATGCCATCAAATGCTTATTTTAAATTAGCATAAAACATGCTTTAAAATATAACACCTTGTATAGAATCTTACATGAGTGGAGAAGCTGCTGCAAATGCTGGTGGAAATGACCGAGAAGGGCTTTGAGAGACACTTTCCTTTCACTGGTTAATCCTGATGTGCTGTTAAAAAAATTTTTACCACCTATTTAAAATGTTTATAATTAAGGCCAGAAATAAACACTTAAAGTTTAAATATAACATAATTAATTGAGTGCCTGCTGTGAGCAATATGCAGTGCAAAGCCCCACCATCTCAAATCCTCAAAAAAAGAGAAGAAAAAAAACAGTCAGTAAAGTAAATGTAGACACTGAAACGTGCCACACAAAATGTTTAAAATACCATCTAATCTCAAGTCAGAGAAAAGATGTGAAATGGGATTCTTGCTCCATAACACATATTCTATTTCCAGTTTTGTTTGAATGTGAGTTGATATTTTTTTTCTAATCATTTTATTAGGGGCTCATACAACTCTTATCACAATCCATACATACATCAATTGTGTCAAGCACATTTGGACATTCATTGCCCTCATCATTCTCAAAACATTTCCTCTCCACTTAAGCCCCCGGCATTAGGTCCTCATTTTCCCCTCCCTCCCCGCTCCCCCCTCCCTCATGAGCCCTTGATAATTTATAAATTATTATTTTGTCATATCTTGCCCTATCCGACGTCTCCCTTCACCCATTTTTCTGTTGTCCGTCCCCCAGGGAGGAGGTCACATATAGTTCCTTGTAATCAGTTCCCAAGTTGATATTTTTTACAACCTAATATATGGACCCACCAAGTTTCTGTCAGTCTCTCATACGGTGGTGGCCTGTGTGTTGCTGCGATGGTGGACGCTAAGTCGCTGGTCTTTCAAGTGCCAGCAGGGTCTCCCACAGTGGATGAGTTTAGGTGGAGCTTCCAGATTAAGAAGAGACATCAAAGAAGGAATCGGCTTCCCACGTTGGAAGCTGTAGCCACTGAAACCCTTACGCATAGCTCTGAAACACTGTCAGATGCTGCAGGCCTAATGGATGGAAACAGGATCAAGCCAGAGGATGAGCGCTGAAAGGGTTACTGAGCAGGTACCACTTTTACAGAGTGGAGTCAACCGTGATGGCGTGACTGCCTGAAAGCTTGTAGGAATGGAGTTGGGGGGTCCTCATTTGCTGATGAGGCACGACTCAACATGAGGGGAATCAGCTGCAAAACTCTGCTAATGAGAGGAACTTGGAAGGTGTGAAGTATGAATCTAGGAAAATTGGAAGTCATCAAAAAGGGAATGCATTAAGACCAGTATCGTGGCCATTAGTGAGCTGTAATGGACTGATATTTCATTCTGACTCAGAAAATCACATCGTGTACTCTGCCAGGAGTGGCACAATCAAGAAGAGTGGTGTTGCAGCCATTGTCAAAAGGACATTTCTAAATCAATCTTGAAGTGCAGTGCTGTCTGTGATAGGATTTTGTCTGTTTGTCTTTGAGAAAATCTAATCAATGCAACTCGTATTTAAATTTATGCACCACCCACCAAAGCTAATGATGAAGAAATTCAAGAATTTTACCAATCTCTTCAGTCTGAATTTGATCAAACATGTAATCAGGATGCATTGATAATTATTGGCAGTTGGAAAGCAAAAGTTGGGAAACAAAAAAGAAGCAACAATAGTTGGAAAATATAGTTCTGGTGATAGGAACCAAGCGGGAGATCACAGGAGGAAAAAAAATGTCAAGACTAACAACTTTATAACAAACATTTTTCAACAACACAAAAAAGTAACTATACACGTGCACTCCTCCGGATAGAATGCACAGAAATCAAGCTGACAGCATCTGTGGAAAGAGAAGATGAAGAAGCTCAATATCAGCAGCTAAAACCAGGCCAGAGACTGACTGTGGAACAGACCACCTCATATGTAAGTTCAGGTTGAAACTAACGAAATTTTTTAAAGTCCACGAGAGGAAAAATATGACCTTGATTCTATCCCGTCTGAATTTCGAGAACAGATTTGAAGCGTTGAATACTAATGACAGGAAACCTGATGAGCTCTGAAAGGACATCAAGAGCATCATTCATCAAGAAAGCAAAAGGTCATTAAAATTACAAGAAAAAAAAAACACAAGAAAGGAAGAAAAGATCAAAGTGGATGTCAAAAGAGACCCTGAGACTTGCTCTTAATCGTAGAGTAGCTAATGCAAAAAAAAAAAGAAATGACACAAAAGGGCTGAATAGAAAATGTCAAAGGGCAGCTTAAGAAGACAAAGTCAAATATTACAGTGAAATGTGCAGACCTAAAGTTAGTAAATATAAAAGAAAGAACATGCTCAGCATATCTTAAACTGAAAGAACTTGAGAAAACAGTTCAAGCCTCTAGTTGCACTATTGAAACATTCTATGGGCAAAATATTGAATGAAGCAAGAAACATCAAAAGAAGATGGAAAGAATACAAAAAATGATTGTACCAAAAAAAGTTAGTTGACATTTCACCATTTCAGGAAATATCATATAAGCAAGAACCAACGGTGCTGAAGGGATAAATCCAAGCTGTATTAGCCAAAAACAAGACTTCAGGAATTGATGGAATATTAATTGAAATGTTTCAATAAGCTAATGAAGCACTGGAAGCACTCTCTCATCTATGCTAGGAAATTTTGAAGACAGTTACTTGGCCGACTGACTAAAAGAGATCCAGATTTGTACCCATTCCAAAGAAAGGTGATCCAATAGAATGCTCGAGTTATAGAACAATACCATTAATATCGCATGCAAGTAAAATTTTACTGATGATCACCTATGTTAAGCAGGGTTCTCTAGAGAAACAAAACCAGGACGCTTGTGATTTTATATATATTTATATAGATAGATAGATGCAACATAAGAAATAAACAGCTAATTTTGGCTGTTTTAAATAAGGTACAAGTCAAGGAAGCAGACAGCTGGGTCCTCTGTAGAGTCACTCACGCAATCTGGCCACAGGCAGCCAACAGCAGGCAGGTCACCAAGAGTCAGTCAGATGACAGGGTCCGACAGTCCCCAGTTCAAGCAATGTATACTCCAGTAGCATGGCAAAACAGGTCTTGAAGGAACCTCAAACTACAGCGACACAGTCCATGGGTTGCGTGTTCCACAGGTAGTGCAGCTCACAAGTTGAGGCAGAGAACCAGCTAAGGCAGCCGCACACTGGTCCGATCATCAAAGAGCAAAAGGCGAGGCTCACTGAGCCATTTATCTCTCCACCCTTCAATTAATCCAACATGTGTTCATTGGCCAGGTTGGCACCATAAACCTACCTATCACATCACCCAACAACCATTGCAGCATATATTGACTGGGAGCTGCCAGAAGTTCAGGTCAGATTCAGAAGAGGACATGGAACAAGGAATATCATTGCTGATGTCAAATGAATCGTGGCTTAAATCAGAGAATACCAGAAAGGTGTTTACTTGTGTTTTATTGACTATGCTCAGGCATTTGACTGAGTCATAGCAAACTATGGATAACCTTGAGAAGAATGGGAATTCTAGAACACCTGATTGTGCTTATGCATAACTTGTACATGGTTCAAGGCAGTTGTGTCAACAGAACAAGGGAACAGTGCATGATTTAAGATCAAGAAAAGTGTGTAACAGAGTTGTATCTTCTCACCATATTGACTCAACCTGTATAATGAGTATGTAATCAGAGAAACTGGATGATATGAAGAAGTACGTGGCATCAGGATTGGAGGAAGGCTTATTCACAACCTGCAATATGAAGATGATGCGACCTTGCTTGCTAAAAGTGAGGACTTGAAGAAATGAAGATTAAGGATTGCATCCTTCAGCATGGAATACAACTCAATGTAAAGAAGACCAAGCTCCTCACAACTGGACACTAGGAAACAACATGGAAAATGGAGAAAAGATTAAAGTTGTCAAGTATTCTGTCTTGCTTGGATCCACAATCAATACTCATGGAAGCAGCAGTCAAGAGACCAAAAGATGAATTGCATTAGGTAAATCTGCTGCACAAAACTCTTTGGAGTATTGAAAAGCAAGGATGTTACTTTGAGGCCCAAGGTTCCCCTGACCCAAGCCATAGTATTTTGAATTGCCTCATCTGTATGTGAAATTTTAACCCTGAATAGAGAAGACCAAAGATGAATAGAATTGTGGTGCTGGAGAAGAATATTGAAAGTACTGTGGGATGCTAAATGGACAAATCAATGTGTCTTGGAAGAAGTAAGGTCAGAGTACTCTCAGAGGTAAAGATGGCAAGTATCCATCTTCCATACTTTGGACACATTGTCAGTAGAGAACAGTCCCTGGAGAAGGACATCGTATTGAGTAAAGTATAGATGGATGGACACACTGGCTGCAACAATGGGCTAAACGATAGGAAAAATTCTGAGGATTGTTATGGGACCTAGCAGTGTTTCATACTGTTGCACATTGGGTTGCTCTGAGTCAGAACAACTTGATGGCACCTAACAAAAATAGCATGTATCCACTCATTAAAATAAGAGCATGTTGTAGAACAAAAACAGTCATGGAAACTCACAAGGGCAGTTCTATCCTGTCCCATAGAGTCCCATAGAATTGGTGTTGACTTAATGGCATCGAGTGTGTGCTTTTTTATTAGTGTGTGTAGTTAATATTTTACGTTTTCCCCCCTAATACTCATGACTCTTACAAACATTACAAGGACAAGTGGTCACGATATAAATACAACTCTTGGAAAAGTTTTAACAATCACGTGGAAAATGAAATGTTTTTATTTTCCTCCTCTTCACAGCTAGGTATGTATCACAGGCAGCGACCTCAGAAATGCTACACTGATGCCGCTTCTTCCACCACACCTGTGCCTATCATTTTCTCACCCATCAAACCCACTGCTATCGCCTAATAGCGCTATTAGTAACAATCTCATATCAAACTAGGAGTTAATTTCATGCTTGATTATATATTTATGCCATGATTTTCCTCTAAATGTTCAAGGTAATAAGCCCACTATGGATATGAGTGGGACTTACTGAACCCAAAGCCCAAAGGAAATCAAAATCAGTGGAATTGTAACAAATGAAGAGTAGCTCTAACAGTAACAAATCAGTAGAATTGAATACAAATGAAGAGTAGCACTAATTTTTCTGATTCCAGACAACTGGCCAAGTCATCTGTTCTTTGCCGTCTCTTGTCATGTGCTGCAGTGTGCAAAGGATCTGTGACGAGTTGATGTTTCACTCGTACGTGTCCCTCCATAGACTCCTTCCCAGATACATGAACACACCCTTACACAGCAGAAGCACAATGCAAATGCACATATACACTGTGGCTGAACAACAGTGCAAACTACAAAAGCCAGCACCTGTGTAAGGGGGAAACCTGTCAGAAAAAGTAAACTCAAATATTTCCCACTGATTGACTGGGATAGAAGAGTGGTGGCTACACCCTACCAAAGGTAGAAAACTTACAAGAACCCAGAAAAACAAGACCAGCTTGTTGAGTTCACACTCTTACAGATTTCACTGTATTCGGTTTTGGTTTCGCAGCTAGAGCTTAAAATTACTCATGATTTAATCCTTTTTAACATTTTCATGAACTACTCTCAAGACCTACATTTTCTCCAAATTGCAAAGAGTATCGTAATGTCCAGATTACACCACGAAGGGAAGAAATCGCGCTGGCTCTAGTGTTCTCTGAAATTTCCACAGATCACTGTTCCACTTCGGTATAGGATGCATGCACTTACTCATGCCCCAAGTTCACCACTGACAAATTCCACTTAAATCCTTTCTTACCAAAGCGATTTTTTTTTTTCACAATTAAGGGCATTTACTAGGGTAGTTAACAAATTGCCACAAGGCAGGATTAGCAAACAGTACAGATACGTCATAGACACACCGCAACACCGCCTCTCACCTGGGAGTCAGTCTCTCTCCAGTCCTCCACCTGCTCCGCCTCGCAGCCCCATCGGCTCAGTGCTGCTCCTCTGTTCTGCTTCCTTGTGGTCTCAGGCTCCACTACTTCCGACCGCAGGCAGAGAGCTCAAAAATGCTACACCAATGGCTCTTCTTCCAATGGTCCTGTGCCTAGTATTTTCTCACCATCCCAAACCCACTGCTATCAATTCAACTCACAGTGGCCTTGCAGGACAAAATGTCACGTGTCTCAAGTCAGAGCTGATGTATAACAACACTCTGGATCACTTCCCAGTCCTGCACCACCCTCATGATTGATTTCCTGTGACAGCTCGTTGTTGCAGCAGCCATCGTGTGAAAACATCTTGTCAACGGCCTTCCTCTTTCCGCTATCCCTCTCTCTACCAAGGGCAAAGGAGAACTGTTCCTCAGGGTTTCTGAGAGTGCTCTACAGGAGCACACAGCCTCCTTTTTCTCCCATTGAGCCGCGGGTGGATTTGAGTACCTACCTTGCAGTTAACAGCTCAGTACTTACCCCACAATGCCTCACCCTTTCCAAAACCAAACTCAGTGCCATTGAGTCAGTTCCAACTCCTGGCAATTCTAGAGGACAGGGAGCAACTGCTCCTGTGGGTTTCCGAAACTGTCACTCTTTACTGGCTTGGAAAGCCTTGTCATCGTCCCTCTTAGAGCTCTTCATTTTCATCAGCAGCACAAGCAATTACATTTCCTAGTGAGACTGTTTTCCACACTCTTGAAACTGTTCCCAGGATTCACAACAAAGGTTGTGCCAAACCTCTGTTAAGATGTGGATGCGGAGAGGACATCCTGGCCCACCAAGGCCCGAGGACAGTGTTCCTGCTCAGAGCAGACAATGCACAAGGAGGACCGTAGGGCTGGCCCCATCATGGGACACGGTGTCCCTCACTGAACCAATGCACTGCGGGGGGACAGCACTGGAGACAGTGCGGGAATGGTGCATGGCCTGGCCCCATCACGCTGGTGCGAGGCACTGAGGGCATGCAGCAGAGCATCAGGGAGAGCAGAGTGATGAAACCCCCGGGAATACCAAAAATAGACTTGGGAGACAGAGTGTGGCACCCCATCAGACTCGACTGGAAAACATTCATAAAGGCCAACAAACAGACCTTGAACTATTTATAGGTTTTTCCATTTGTGTCAGTGGCTTATTTTTGGTGGTTATTTTGTTTTTGGTTATTGTTATGGTTTTGTTGGTCTTGACTTCCTTTGCTGTTTTATTTGGCTTTGCCAGGTTTTTGCACTTAATGTATCTGCATGTCTATCTAGATAACATAGGCGGGATAAATAATTCGGAGATGAAAACAATGGGACCAAGGTTCTGGGGGGATACGGGGGAAGGGGAGGTGGGAGAAAAGAAGTGGGGGGGTAACCAACCCAGGGACAAAGGAACAACAACCCAGGGACAAAGTCAACTATAGTCAATGGAAGGAACGAAGGTTGTAGGATGCCTAGTGGGGCTTAATCAAGGGCAATGTAGCAGTAAGGAATTACTAAACCCGAATGAAGGCTGAACATGATGGTGGGACAAGAGGAAAGTAAAAGGAAATAGAGGAAAGAACCAGGAGGCAAAGGACATTTATAGAGGTCTAAATGCAGGCATGTACAGATGTAAATGCATATATAACATGAGGGGAATAGAACTATGTACTCATCTATATGTTAAAAATTAAGGTTGCAGATGGACACAGGGCCTCAACTCAAGTACTCTCTTAACACAAGACAGTTTGTTCTAACAATCCAGCATTCTGTGATGCTCACTTTCCTGACACAATTGCTGAAGACAAAGCGGCGGATGCATAAGCAAATGTGGTGAAGAAAGCTGATGGAGTCTGGCTATCAAAAGATATCATGTCTGGGGTCTTAAAGGCTTGAAGATAAACAAGCATCCATCTAGCTGAGAAGCAACAAAGCCCACATGGAAGAAGCACACCAGCCTGTGTGATCACAAGGTGTCAATGGGAATCAGGTATCAGGCATCTAAGACCTAGAACAAAACCATATCCAAGGTTAATGATGGCAAGGGGCATGGAGTGGAGACCCAATGCCCATCTGTAGACAATTGGACATCCCCTCACAGAGGGGTCACAGGGAAAAGATGAGCTAGTCATGGTGCAGTATAGCACTGTTGAAACACACAACGTTCCTCTAGTTCTTTGGTGCTTCCTTCATGCCACTATCATGACCTCAGTTCTACCTTACAAATCGGAGTAGACCAGAACATGCACACTGCTACAGATAAGAGCCTGCAACACAGGGAACCCGGGATAGATAAACCCCTCAGGACTAGCAAGGAGATTAGAGATACCAGGAAGATTAGGGGCTGGTGGGGGGAGAAAGGGAGAATCAATCACAAGGATCAACCTAGAACCCCCTCTCAGAGGGATGAATAAATGAAAGGGGGGTGAGGGGCGACGATAGACAATGTAAGATATGGAAATAATAATCTATAACTTATCAAGGGTTCATGAGGGAGGGTGGGTGGGGGAGGGCGGGGGGTGAGATGGGGAGCTGATAACAGGGGGCTCAAGTGGGAAGAAAATGCTTTGAAAATGATGATGGCAGCATATGTGCAAATGTGCTTGACACACTGGATGAATGCATGGATTGTGATAAGAGATGTAAGAGCCTCCAACGAAAGCATTAAAAAAAAAAAAAAAAAGATGTGGATGCTGGGACACGGCTAAGTGCCTCACCTCAGCACATGACAATACGTCTGTCAGCGTGGGTCTCACCAAAAGGAAGTTCCATCATGCCATGGACCTTCGAAAACATTCTTATATAGATGGATGTTAGATTTGAGATTCCTAGCATATATATCCCCTATTATCCAGGGGGGTGTATTCAGCAGGTTTTCAAGAAGTGCATATAGATGGATTGTCAGGATGAATGAATTCAAGAATATTCTTACCTAATGTATGTATGGAACTGCTCGGTGGGGACAACAGTTAAGAGCTTGACTATTAATTGAAAGGTTGGCAGTTCAAATCCACCCAGAAAGGCCGTGGAAGAAAGGCCTAGTGATCTACATCAGAAAACCCATAGCCACTGAGGCACAAGGTGAGGCACTTAGTCACTGAAACGCATGGCTTACCCTGCGTCAAAATCAACTCCATTGCATGTCTGTAATGTCATAGATGTGTGCAATCCCAAACAAGTGTTCAAACAGTCTTGCTTAAAGAGAGGCTCTCTTTCATGTGGAAGAAGTGGAATGCCATGAGCACTGTTAAATTGTGGAGGCTGTGCCCAATATCCGGAAACAAAATAGTTTGAATTGTTGAAGGGAAACCACTTTGCTCTGTACACATCCACCCAAACCACAATGGGAATATTTTTAAAACTTTAAACTATGCTTTACTGTAGTATTTCTAATCAGAAGATAGCAGGATTTTTCTTTCTTTTTCTGTTAAGACTATTTTATTGGGGGCTCTTACAGCTCTTATAACAATCCATACATCAATTGTATCAAGCGTATTTGTACATATGTTGCCATCATCATTTTCTAAACATTTACTTCTATTTGAGCCCTTGGTGTCAGCTTCTCTTTTTTACCACCCTAGGGACCCCTGGATAGATTATAAATTATTATTAATTTCATATCTTACACTGACCGCTGTCTCCCCTCCCCGCAATTTCTTCCCCTATCCTCTCCCCACCTTCACCCTAGCCTCCTGGTATCGCTACTCCCATTTCTGTTCCTGAGGGGTTTATCTTACCTGGATTCCATGTGTCCTGAGCGCTTACCTGTACCTGTGTACATATTCCAGCCTATCCTGCAGTGAAAGGCAGGATTGGGTCAGGATAGTAGAGGGTGAGGAAGCCTCAAGGAACCAGAAGAATGTTGTGTGTTTTTATTGCCTACGTTATTGTTGGTGCTATACTTCACCATGGTTGACTCTTCCCTTCCTTGCAACCCTTCTGTGAGGGGATGTCCCATTGTCTACAGATGGGTTTGAGGTCTCTCCTCCAACCCCCCTCATTCTCAACAATATTTTGTTTGTTTGTTTGTGGTCTCTGATGCCTGTTACATGATCCCATCGACACGTCATGATGGCGCAGGCTGGTGTGCGTCTTCTGTGTGGGCTTGTTGCTTCTCTGCTAGATGGACGCTTGATTAACTTGAAGCCTTTAAGACCCCAGATGCTGTATCTTTTCATAGCCGGGCACCATCAGTTTTCTTCATCACATTTGCCTGTGTACTTATTTTGTCTTCCTGTCAGGAGGATGAGCATCATAGAATACCAGGTTGTTAGAACAAAGTGTTCTTGCATTGAGGGAGGGCTTAAGCAGAGGACCAATGTCTGCCCACTTCCTCAATATATTGCCATATAAATATATGTATGTACCTATGCAAATACCTCATTTTTATTAATTAATATATTTACTAAGTGCACACCTACGTTTATAACTCTATCCATAGCTTTGCTAGATCTTTTCTCTGTTTCCTTTTACCTTCCTCCTTTCCCACCTTCATACTCACCCTTCTTCTGCCTCTTAGTAATTCCTCTCAGCTAGATTGCTGTTGCTCCAATTGTTCCAGCAATCGTAGAGACCCAGGATCTCTATGTCCTCCTCATTGTTGATCCTCGTTGCTGATTTTAATTCCCTAGTTGTTCCCCTGTCTGTGGCATTGCTTGCTCACTGCTCCTTTCCCCTGCCTCTTTCTCCCCCTAAGTCCTCCCAGAACCTCCAGTCCCATTGCTTTCTCCTTGGGCTCTCTTCCCATGCCTATCTTATGTAGGTAGGCAAACCAACAATTACATAGACAATACAAAAAGAAAACAAAAAATTGAATAAGAAGAGAAAAAATATATATATAAAGAAAAAGAATAATAACTAGCAAAAAAAATGAAAAAGCATAGATAATTCCTGGTCTGTCCACTGACCTTTATGACTATCTCCCCACTGATCCTGAGAGGTTCCAGTAACTGCCCCTTCTGGCCTGCAGTCTATTTGGGGGGCTCCTTGGGGACTTTATGGCTTGGCTTGGCTCCTGTTGCTGATCTGTTATGTTCCCTTCTTGGTTCTCCCTGTCGTGTGTCCCCTGGACTGTCCTCTGTCACTGTATGCTCTAGCAAGGGGTCATCATGTCTCAACCTGTTGTCAGCCCCACAGTCTTCTCTGTGCCTTAGCAGCTCCGCACAAGCAGCTCCATCCTTAGGGCTTGTTGGGCCAACATGAGATCTAGAACCTCACTCTCTCTTTTGCCGTCTTGGTTTTGAATCTTACAATAAGCCACATTAATAGTTTTTGCAGAGTCCCCGCGAGGTTGCTAAATGGAAGGTTGGAAGTTGGAGGCAACGCAGGGTTCCTCAGAAGGAAAATACAGCAATGTACTTCCACACAGTTATACTCTGACACACATGGGGTCCTGATGAGTCAGAACCAATTCAGAGGTGATTCGTTCTCTTGAAATAGTGTTGGCAGCCATGGTAGGGCCCTGTGGTGGACAACAGCCCAAGACAATTTTCAATTATAGAAAATATTCAAATCATTAGCCTGGATCTCTTTTTAAAAATCTTGCCACAAATAGTGGACATAATGATTCTTTAAGAAAATAAATCAATGTGAGATTTTGTAATCAGTTTAACTGTTGAAAATTGGCAGCCTAGAAATGAACAATGCTGGACACTGAACATTTTTCACCATATCATGTTTTTCACTTGCTGTGTTTGTTAAGAATGAAAGAATAACTGCCATCAGTGAGCTATTCTGACCTACAATTAAACTCCAATATAGTGCTATCTCATTTGTTAGTAGAACACTGTTTACACAAATTTACTTTCAGTTAGATATAATAGTTAGATATAATAGTTAAGGTGCTATAAGTCATAGTATTATTTTTTAAAAAAAACCATTGCCATCAGATTGATTCTGACTCATCATGACCTTATTTGAGGTTTATGAGACTGTAATCTTTATGGGTGCAAGAGGGCCTCATCTTTCTCCAGCAGAGTAGCAGATGGGTTTGAACCACCAACATTACAGTCAGGAGTTCAATGCTTACCTGAGAGTGCCACCATGGCTCCTGGTAGTATCAGGAGCACAGAAATTGGAACCTTGGGTCGTTGGTTTATATACTAATTTAGTATCTATTTTAAACCACAGATCAGAAGAATTTGGAGAGCTGAACACAATTTCTACGAAAGTAAACATTCCTTCAGAAAAGGCCATGGCACATGTCAATGTTCACAGACTACCAGCAAAGTTTAAGCCTCCAGAGATTAAGGTAAAGTAGGCATTATTGTAAGCATAATGGAAAGAAGGAGAGAGAAGGATAATAATTACTTTTCCCTCCTGGTTTGATCCTTTAGGAAATCGAATACCAGAACTTAAGATTTCCAGTAGATTTATCAAATCCATTTGCTGTGGCAACTGTTTTAAACCAAGAACCAGGAAAATTGAAGATCAAAAAATTAAGAGAAGGTAACCAATTGATCTGCCATACATCAGTCCCTGGGCAGACTATGAGGAACTGGAAATACAGGGAATCCAGGGCGGATGAGCCCTATAGGACCAGTGGTGTGAGTGATGATACAGGGAGCGTAGAGGGAGAGTGGGTAGGAAAGAGGGAACCGATTACAAGGAACTATATGTGACCTCCTCCCTGGGGGACGGACAACCAAAAAGTGGGTGAAGGGAGACGTCGGACAGAGCAAGATATGACAAAATAACAATTTATAAATTATCAAGGGCTCATGAGGGAGTGTTTTGAGAATGATGAGGGCAATGAATGTACAAATGCGCTTTACACAATTGATGTGTGTATGGATTGTGATAAGAGTTGTATGAGCCCCTAATAAAATGATTATAAAAAATAAAATAAATAACTTCTTGTCACATTTACTACTTGTTAAAAAAAAAACAAAAGTCATCTCGATGGTTGTTGTGGTCTTCTATTAGAAAACTGCTTTTCTCTTGGCAAGTGCTTCTGATTGGATTACTGGGGGTAATCGTTGTTTGCCCTTGCCTTCAGTTTTGGATCAAGGCAATGAAATTTCAAAAACAAAGCAAATGAAGGAAGCTCTCTTCGAACAGAAGATCAGACAGGACATTAATGAAGAACTTGAAAATCACCTTAAGTGGTAAATAGTCATCTCATTTTTTTATCATGTGATAGTGTGGTTGTTTTTAAGTAGTGACTTTTTGTGCCTGCAACAGAGTGAAAGGTAATGACATCTGATGCCCTTGGGACAATGTGATCACTCTCCTCCAGTGACCCGTCTACTTCAGAATGAAGTTTCTATTGGGAATCAATGAATGCGACCTAAGTGTCACCAGACAATGGCAGAACCAGAATGAATTATGACAGAAGCTGCCCTGGTGCTTCTGCTCCCCAGGCACTTGGACCAGTGCGGGTTACTTGGGCGTCTCACCGTGAGCCCTTATGCCCTGGGCTGGAGGCCCATGAGAGACATGGGGCAATGAATCTGGGGAAGAGATGGGACTGGGGAAGCTGGAGATGGGGGAAGGCCCTGTTAGAGGTTTTTAAATTCAGGTGTGAGAATTCCTACTTAGGCATCTATGCTAATCATAGAACCTTTTTCACCAAAAAAGTTTTATACCAAATAGTACCACGCATATGCATTTGTATGGATAATCATATGTTCTAATCAGATCTTGAGGGCCTTCAAAGGTTAGTCCACCACCCTACTACCCTATTTTGATGGGGAATGGGATTTGTTTTTCACAAAAATTCCTCTGCTTCTGCCAAAAATATGTTTTAATGGTCTGGTATTGGGGCGGTTAACTTCAAGGTGAGGAGTCCAATCCCTCCTGCCAATCCACGAAAAAAGATGAGCCACTGCTCCTATAAAGATTTATTATCTCAGAAATTCTATGTACGGAAACTGAATCAGAGCCAACTGGATGACAGTGGACTTTTGTGGGGGGTGGGAGGGAGGGTTGGCCTTACTTAAATGAGAAGTATGCAAAGATAATCTTAAAAAATCATTTGGAGCAAATGAATTTTAAAAATAATAATTTGTTCCAACTGTATAAAACTATTACATTGTCATTGTAGAACCCTGAAAATACAGATTTTTTAAAAAGTATTGAAAGGGGTAGGGGGAATCCTTTGTAATCCTCTGTTAATACATTGGTGCATTTTCTCCTCAGCTTATTTACAATACTTGCATCCTTGAAATCGCCCCTATTCAATATTATATACTGTGTTTTTCATTTAATGTTTTTCCCAACATCTGGTTAAAAGATTTGAAACCTGAAAGTACGTTCACCGACTGTCAGCATTACACGACATACGCCCTCCCCACCCATCGAAATATCCACAACATGTGCCGTAACTTTTGCTGAAACATTTGAAAGAAAACTATCCACAGTCAAGACTCATACTACTAAATACTTCATCATGTAGCGAAGATAGTCTCCTACATTACCATAATAGCTTCCCCGAAATTTAACATTCACACAATGTTATATAATAATCTGTCCATATACAAATGTCCTCCGTTACATAATGTCCTTCGTTAGAAAACAAAACTCACTGCCACCATGTCAATACCCACTGTGTCACTTCCCACAGTAGCATGGCTACCCCATAGGATGGAGGAGAATTGCTCTATAGGATTTCTGAGACTAGATCTTTAGAGGAGCAAGCAGCCTTAATTTTCTCCCACAGGGTGGCTGCTGGGTTTGAACCACTAACCTAGTGGTTAACTGTTTAACGCTTACTTCACTGCACCACCAGGCCTCCTGGATACCTTGTCGTTTGTGAAGACTAGAAATCCAAAGTTAATCAAAGCTCCTACAATCGCATTTCATTTTTGTTTCCTTCGTCTTCCTTATTCTGGAACGTTCTCCCGGTGCAGCACCTCCTCCATAGCACCAGACCCTGCTTTTAAAATCATAATTACTCTGTTTTGGATCTATGCCAAGTTCTATGACTTATACATTATATGCCAGATTTTATTTTCCTTTAAAGTAATTTTCATGAAATATATCGCTTTAACTACTTTTAACGGTACAATTCCCTAGTTTTTAGTATATTTCTGGTTTGTACCGATATTGCCACTCAATCCGATCCTGGAACTCAACATCCAATGCTATCCTCAGTCTACTCCTTCTGCCTCGTCTCTGGCTTTCTGTGTGCCTGGCCTGGCCAGGCTGGACGGTTCGTGTCAGTGGGACCGTGCACTGTGTGATCTTTTGTGCCTGCCTTCTTCTACTTCACCTAACATTCTCAAGGCTCACCCATAGTGCGGCAAGTATCAGTCTTTCTATTTCGCTTTTTGAGGAACTGCCGGGAAATTTCCCACCAGCAATGTAGGAAGCTTCCAGTTTCTCCACATGCTCACAAATACTTATTATTTTCATAGTTTGCTTTATTTTTATTTTTAATTGTAATGGTCCTCGTGGGTGGGAAGTGGCGTCTCATTATCGTTTTGCTTTGCATTTCCCTAATGACCAATGATGTTGAGCACTAAGATTTTTTTTTATTCAAAAATATTTTTGTATGTGTCACTGGAATAGAAGCTTCGTTGTATAAAACATATCGTTCATCTTGGCTATGTTGCTGACGTTTCTGCCACTTCTCTCCTCCATGGCATCCCCTCCTGTTCATTTCAACAACAACCTTTTCAGATGTGGAGTGTGATTAAGACAACCTCTCCCAACACTGACCAGGATCTTCTGATGGCTTATGGAAGCTGTTTTTCTTCTCCTCAGGCAGGTGCGCCTTGGTAAAGATCCTGTATCCATTACATTAAAAAGAGAACTTCTTGAAGAACATCAAAGAGCAATCATGAAATATAAGGTCAGAATTACCGCTACCTGTATATCATTTATTATGCTAAATATTTTTAAATGCTTGCTATCTGTAAAATACACTCGTAGGAGAAAGTGAACTTACAGTTCAGTTGGGAGTGGGAGAAGCTGATTGCAAATAAATTTCTAACTATAAATCAAGTCTGGCCATAAATTTCCTGAGAGCCCTAGACCACATGTTGTGGAGATTCAGAAGCCAGGGGGAAAGAGAATCCTTCTAGTTGGAAAGATGTGTCTGGAAGACATGTTTCTGACATGGCATGATCTGGAAGACATAATATCGGTTTAAAAAGTAGTAGTGAAGCCCCGATAAAACGATTAAAATAATAATAATAAAAAGTAGTCTTGAAAAAGAGCATTGCAGATAGAAATAATGGTTCAAAACCTGACTATAATTGTGGAAAACCCAAAGACAGCCACAGGAAAGGAAGGTGGACCAGATCCACATACCAAGTCCCATGGCAGAGCTGCTCCAGAGGGGAACTGAGTGGAGGGGAGCGGGATCATACCAGGACAACCAGGCAAACCCCACATATTCTGGGTGGGTAGAGACAGCAAGTGGGGCACTGTGCAACACCCTTGACCTCACCAGGGCTTGGCAGACAGGTCGTTGGATGTAGGACAGGTGCAGGGCCATCATTGCCTAGAATATAGACCAGCGGTTCTCAACCTGTGGGCCGTGACCCCTTTCATAATACAGTTATGAAGTAGCAACGACAATACTTTTATGGTCGGGGGTCACCACAACATAAGGAATTGTATGAAAGGGTCGTGGCGTGGGGAAGGTTGAGGAGCACTGACATGGACACACATGGAGTGGAGGAGCTAGGCTCAGCTGGGGTTCTGTGTAGCAAAGGTTTGAATGTGCTGGTGAAGCACTTGGAGCAGAGTGAGCATGAAGTCAAGGGATAAACATCAGTCGAGCGCAATAGAATGTTCCAGGAAAATAAGACCTGAGAAAGACACATTGGATTTGGCAGTTTGGAGATTACAGTTTGCTTTGGAGAGGCAACAAAACTGTAATGGATTGAGGAGCATTTATTTGCTGTATTTGCTGTCAATTCAATTCTGACTCGTAGAGAAATGGATGCGATGCAGTGGGACTGCCCCATGGGGTTTCCCGTGCGAACACAGTCTTTTCTCTCTGGGGGCTTCTGTGTGGGTTCGAATGGTCAACCTTTCTGTCGCAGCTGGGCAAGCACTTGCCTATGGTGCAGCCATGACTCCTTACAGGATTGTGTCCACAGGAGGAACAGAGAGTTTCTTGAGAAGCTGAGATGTGCAGGGCTGAAGAGTGATCATATGGAAAACTAAGAATGAGGCGTAAAGGAAAGGGTATCTACATCGGAAACATTGGACCATTCATGTAGATTCAGGCTAACGAGCAATTAAAGACAAGCAGGCAATCCTGAGGCCCAGGGTATTTGGAAGTCCATCTACTAGTTTTAAAAGCCTTCTTCTCTGTGTCAGGAGATTTCATCCAGCAGCTGAGGTTTGGCAGATGAGCCGGTGGTAAGGAGCATCCCAGGCCATACGGTAGAGAGTTAGGGGAAAGAGAAATGGTGGAAACGAGACGGTAGGGGTATTGTGGAACGTCCACATTATAGCCAGATGGTGTCAACCCTAAAGGATGTTGAGCTTTTTGCTCTGGGAAGATCAAGAATACTAAATTCTGAAATATTCAACATAAACAAGTAGAATTTTAAAATTATAGAAACAAAAAAACCTTTCTCCAGGTAATAATAGCCTATTGGCCAGTCCCTTCTTTAAGTAGCCATTTTATTTTATTTATTTTGTTATTTTATCTTTAGCAGCAGTCTAGGGTTCCCCACAAAATTTCTCTTTTGAACGTAGGGTCCAGAGTCTCAAGCCCAACTTCCAGTGTGTTCAAATCAGCCTTAAAGGAGCTGCACGGCTCCCTACCCTGGTGACAGTAATACATCCGACTAGTTGTTCGTGTGGTGATCAGAACACAGTTTGTCCGCCTAAGCCTTCCCAGGTGCTTGCCGGCAGAGTACCTGAGAGCCAAGCTCGTTTGAGAAGTGTGCCAGCAAACAAATAATGGAAGGGGTTGTTGTCGGGTTCATTCTTTCCACAAGCAGACTGCCAGACCTATCTTCTGAGGCACCTCTGGGTAGCTTCTAACCGCCCACCTTTTAAGCAGTACTCAGCGCTTAACCACGTGCACCACTCAGAGACTCAGCGAAATCTAACCCGATGTGAAATCTACACAGTCCCCCTCCACAGAGGCAAGCGTGTGTAGACACCCATCCACACCCAGCCAGCCTCCCTCAGAGTTATCACGGCTCAGAGGGAATAGGAAAGATGTGAAGGTGTGAAGCGCTTGGACCAGGGGCTCCTCTGTGACGTAGGGCAGGCACGTGGGGAAGAGGGGCCACCTGGACGCAGTTACTGTGAAGATGGAGGCAAGTCACTTTCCACACCTGAAGGCCCCTTCAATCTCTACCACTCAACAAAAAGAAGGGGCGGGGGTGGGGGTGGGGGGGACAGGGGGCAGGGAGGAGCGGATCCCATGCCTCTTAGTTAACCCTCAATGCCTGAATCATCAACGTAGGCCCTTAAATTGTCACTTAGATTGCATTTCTTTTCAATGAAATTTCTACACTTCCCAAATGACAAGATTTCCTAAAACATTCCCTGTGAATCCTCTGAAAGAACCTCTACATGTGCTGCCCTCTGTTTACACAAGAGGCCTCAGACAGGTGAGTCCCTAAACATCTCCTTTGTCTTTGTCACGAACATTTTAACCTGCAGGCCTCCACGATTCTAAGGGGAACTACTTCCATGGGTGGGTTTAACTAACTGCTAAATGAATTTCTACTAGTTTTAAAGACGCTTTTTGAATTTGCGTTCACCTTTAATATTTTCCATGATTTAAAAACCCAGCTGGATTCAGAAACTCCCATTGTGGATGAGGAATTTCACCGACTCCAGACAGAAGTGAGCCACAAACGGATCATTCGCAAACTAGAAGATGTGGGTAACTTTCATTTGTTTGTAATTGTATTATTGGCAACTCTTTATATGCTTTTTAATTTTATTTTTGAGACTGTAAGTCTTTTATTTATTATTTTATTAACTTTTTTTGGGGGGGGGAGCTAATACAGACATCACACCATTCCATAGTTCAATTGCATCAAGCAGCAGTGTACAATTGCTACCACGATCAGTTTTAAAACATGTTCTTCCTTCTTAAACCCCTTAATATTGGCTCCCTTTCACCATCCTCCCTTTTCCCCACCGTATGCCCCAGGAACTCTTATTCTCCTTGCCGCTATAAGTTCATCTACCCTGGGTTTCATATAATGAAAAACAGAAAAGCATATCACAAAAATTCAAGAGGGCTGCCCACAATGACAAAAACCCATCAGAAATAAATCCCAAAATGAAAAAAAGGGAACATAGAAACTATCCACAAGCAGACCAGGCTCAAAGTATATCAGAGGGGGGACATAAGTTTGTTTTAAAAAAAAAACACTAAGTTTTTAAAAGCACTAGAGAAACCATCTCACCAAGAGATGTTTAATTATCTTAATAGATTTACATTTTCAGAATGTGTTTTACTATATATTGACAAGGAGAGCATCAAAACTTGAAGTTAATTCTTCCCTTGAAATTACCAGCATTGTGTGCTCTTGGCTCCTCACATCCCTCCCTCCCTTCAGTCTTTCTGGTTCTCCTCGGCTCGTTCCCATTTCTTTCCACGACCCTGGCTTCAGGCCCACAGGGGTCCCTTACCCTTCTGCTTCCTTCCCCTTGCTGGAAAGGCCAGGACACACGATCAGCAGTCAGAAGCCAGAGTTCTGGTCTCCATTGTGCCACATCTGTGGGGCCTGGAGAAAGCCCCTTGGCTCTGTGCCTCAGTTTACACAACCATAAAATAGAGACTAACTCTTTCACCTGTGTGTCCTTCTCTGAAAACTCAATGTTTAATTCTAAGCATGAAAAAATTCTTCCTAATCTCCTCCATCTCCATTGTCCACATTTTTCTCTCCCGAATTTGCCCCGAATCCATGATTTTTACCTCTTTCTTTCTCTCCCACGTCCAATCTGGCCACCAAGTCCTGCCGATAGCTCTTCACAAGCCATACCTGCATTGAGGCTTCGTGGCTCACCCCTAACGAACAGGTTTCTGTTCAGACTGGTGCCCTTCCTATTCCATTTGCTGCATGTGCCGAGGTGAAAATCATTCCTTCAGGTAGTTTTCCTGTTCAAGAATCTGTGTTGCTTCCTAACACTGATAGCTCAAACTACTCTAATTTCCCTAACATTTGCATAATCTGTGGTTCTCAAACTGTGCTCTCCAGACCAGGGGCATTTGCATTTGCCCTGTAACCTGTTAGTAATGAAAACCCATGGTCCTACCTCTGACCTGATAAATCAGACAATGTGTGTGTGTGGGGGGGTCTGGGGGGGGGTGTTAGTCCAGAGAGATGAGAACCAAGCCAGAGGACTCAAATATGTGTAGGAAAGAGTTTTGTTTTGTTTTTAATCATTTTATTAGGGGCTTATACAACTCTCATCACAATCCACACATACGTCAATTGTGTAAAGCGTACTTGTACATTCATTGCCCTCATCATTCTCAAAACATTTCCTTTCCACTTAAGCCCCCGACACCAGGTCCTCATTTTTCCCCTCCCTCCCCACTCCCCTCTCCCCCATGTGCCCTGGATAATTTATAAATTGTTATTTTGTCATCTCTTACCCTGTCGGACGTCTCCCTTCACCCACTTTTTTGTTGTCCGTCCCCCAGGGAGGAGGTCACATATAGTTCCTTGTAATCGGTTCCCTCTTTCCTACCCACTCTCCCTGTACCCTCCCAGTATCGCCACTCACACCACTGGTCCTGTAGGGATCATCCGCCCTGGATTCTCTGTATTTCCAGTTCCTATCTGTACCAGTGTCCATCCTCTGGTCTAGCCAGACTTGCAAGGTAGAATTTGTGTCATGATAGTGGGAGTGGGGAGAAAACATTTAGGAACTAGAGGAAAGTTGTATTTTTCATCATTGTTACATCGCCCCCTGACTGGCTCGTCTCCTCCCCAAGACCCCTCTGCAAGGGGGTCTCCAGTGGCCTGCTAATGAATGGGCTTTGGGTCTCCACTCCGCACTCCCCCCATCATTCACTATGCTAAGATTTTTTTGTTCTGATTATGCCTTATACGTGATCCCTTCGACACCTCGTGGTTGCATAGGCTGGTGTGCTTCTTCCATGTGGGCTTTGTTGCTTCTGAGCTTGATGGCCGCTTGATTACCTTCAGGCCTTTAAGACCCCAGACGCTATACTTTTTGATAGCTGGGCACCATCAGATTTCTTCACCACATTTGCTTATGCACTCATTTGTCTTCAGTGATCCCTTCGACACCTCGTGATCACACAAGTTGATATGTTGTTCCATGTGGGCTCCGCTGCCTCTGAGCTAGATGGCTGCTTGTTTACCTTCAAGCTTTTAAGACCCCAGACGCTAAGGAAAGAGTTTTATATCAAAGAGCAATTGTATATTGAGAATACATCCCAGCCCAGGACAGACCAAGTCCGTAAGTCTGATATTAGCCCACATGTCCAATACCAGTCCATAAATTCCTCTTTAGACTCACACAACACATGCTATTATGCCAAATTCAGGAAGATCACAGGCAGGTGGATAGAAAGTCCTGTGGATCCAATGGTGCTAGATAAATCTCCAGGGCTCTGGCTGCCATCAGCGTGACTCCAAGTGGCTTGTCTGAGGGAAGTGATGCAGACAGCGAGTGTGCCCAGTGTCTGTGGAGAAAGAGAGGAAGTTCCCGGAATCCTCATGAGAAGGCCACGCCCACAGGAAATATCATCAGGCTGTGGCCTGATTGACAGGCCAGGCTCCACCCCTTATTTATCAAGTTGACATGAAACGATGTACCGAGCACAGGATGGGTCTAGCAAGCAGGGCTTTACCCACTGAAAAAGGAGAGCCGCTGGGCTAGAGCCCTGAGCTGTGTCATACATGAAATACGTTCACCGTGTTAGCTACTGTACCTTCGAAGAAGCGTGAAGTCGGTATGGACTTCTTTATTTTACAGATGTGAGAGCGGGAAGTCAACAATCAAGCTGGAATTTTACTTAGGCTTTTTCACTTCAAAGCCTATTGACCCTTTGTTTCAATCGTTTCGAGTTTTTCTGCTCTTCCCCGCACCCACCACCTCCCCCACTAGCCCACCCCCACCGCCACAACCCCTTGTAAACCATTTTCTTGCTTTTGCTTTGCCTCTTGGAGAAGATGCTCCTCCCTCACTAGCTCTTCTGCAAGGGCAAATTGCAAGTTCAACTGCTCTAGGCCAGTGGTTTTGTCTGAGTCAGTGTGGCCCGGGGCTGTCTCTCTTACATTCACTGATTCTAGGCCCACACGTGCCCCTTGCCCGGGGTACACGCAGCTCTGGCCTCCTCCTTCTGAGGCAGTCTCTGTGTTTGCTCGTCTCAGATCTGATTCTGGGCGGTGCCCACCACGTGGGGCTGACTTGCTGCATGGCTTCATCTTTCATCCTTGGGGGCAAATGAATTTGTTTTAGCTTCCGCAACTCGACTTAAGTTTCTTCAAATCCAAACCAGGTGCTCCCGTTTGGGCTCCCAACTCAAGAAGAAGCCCCTATCATGCTATGCATACTAAATAAAAGTGCCTAATAATTGCTCATTATGTGGCAAGATAAACAAGTAACAACTTGATGTAAGATTGGGTTCTACATTAATAATTGGGTTTCGTAGACGCTTACATGCTAATATTTTATGTCCACAGACAGCCACGGAATTTCATCCTAATTTTGATCCACTTATTAACAACACTTGGACCAGCAGGTTCAGGGCACTGAGACGGTTTCAGCAGGCAGCACGCAAGGTAAGTCGCAGAACCAAATCGAAATTTTAATGTTTAATCATCAAGGCAAAGAAATCAACCAAAGGTGCTTTTAAATAACCAGTCTCTTCTGCTTAATCCACATGTCATAAAATGTGTCGCTGTTATTAGATGATATCAAGTTAGTCACCACTCATAGTGACCTAGTGCAAGAGACAGAAACACGGTCTGATCTTTGCAACTGTCGCGATGTGGGAGCCCAGGGTTACAGCCACTTTGTCAATGTCTCTCATGCAGGGTCTTCCTCTTTTTAGCGACCCTCTACTGGAGCTTCATGGCTTTCTCTAGAGAAGATAAAATGCACCTTTTAAAATGTGCCTTTCAGAAGTACTTCGTGCAGGCTTGTGCTTCCATCACGTACGTCTGTAATTTTAAAACATTTTCTTCACTCAAAAAAGAAAATCCTGCTCAGTTGCAAGCAGACACCTTTCAACTCCCCTTTCCAGCTGACCCAGGCCAAGACTACTTTCTCTCTCTACGGATTTGTTTATTCTAACAACATAAATGCATTTTAAACATGTTTCTTTCACTCAAAACTTTCTCCGGGTTGTAGCCTGTATCTGTATTTCATTTCTTTCATTTTTCATGAGTTCATTTATATGATTGAGTACATTGTATGAGTATTCATTCATTGTATGGACATTCATTCATCACTTGATGGACATTTGAGTGGTTTCTACTTTTTTGGCTATTATGAATAATGCGTATGGTAGTTAGTGATTATGTCAACTGGTCACTCCTGGTAGGGGAGGAGACAAACCTGCCAATCAAGTCTCAGCCGGATGACACTTCCTTGATGTCATTAGCCTTTGGGTACAAGAGTGTGAGACAGTAGAGGTGATTACTCTCTCTACCCCTCACCTTCCTGCCTACTGGGCTGTGCTGGCGCCCTAGGGGTGGTTGGCATCATGCCATATTTCCACCAACTTTGGGTGCACACAGCTCTGCACCCACTGGCCTGTGACCATCCTGCTTCCCTGTTGGCCGTTCTGTATCACCGGCATGTGGCTACGTGAGTCTGAAGAAGGACGTAAGGACTAGCATCCAACTTACGGACTGGGCTTGGACTGGGCTGGGCTGGCTTCTTGGTATACAATCCCTTTCTGATATAAAATGTTTTTATTATACATGAATGAGTGTCACTGAATTTGTTTCTCTGGACCACCCAGCCTAGGACATATCTAAAATTTTCTTGTGTGTGTGTGTGTGTATACAGTGAACCCTCGTTTATCGCGGTTAATTGGTTCTAGACCCTACCGTGATAAATGAAATTCCGCTAAGTAGGATTCCTTATTTTTAAATCAAATATTTTCGTAGTTAGAGCATAGAGGACATGAAAAAACACCCTTTAGTCACCATTACACTCGTATTACCCAATTTATTAAACGAAAAAGGGAAAATACAGTAAAACATTTTGGACGTTACAATTATCATTTATTATTTATTATATTATTTATGGCATCAAGCGTGTACAGTATGAGCCAATCAGTGGCAGTAATGACAGAGCATGCGCTGTTATGCAAAAACCGCGATAGAGTGAAGCCGTGGAAGTCGAAGCGCGAAGTGGCGAGGGTTCACTGTATATATATATATATATGGAATTGTTGGGTCATATATATATATATATATATATGAAATTGTTGGGTCATTTGGTAATTCTAGAAGCACTTACTGATCCGTGATTTCTAGAGGGAAAAATTAAGAACCCTTGTAGAGTTTGTCTCGGTGTCTGGCGTATTGCTTTCCCCACAAAGTGTGGCATCTTCCTCCCCCTCGTACTGGTCTCCCCCCGGCATATTTCTAGTCCCCCGTGGCTTCCTGCTACCATGGTAAAATGTTTTGCCTTCAATGTTAATAGAGACTTACAGTGACCATTTGTTTGGTTACAGCCACACCTCCCCAGTTCCCCATTGTTTCAGTCTTTTTCTTCTTCCAAACCTGCTGTGTTGTTCTGAATACAAACTTGTATTTTTACTCCTTTTCCTCCAAATAAAATGACCCTTGGGCCCAGTACAAGTCTACCTTTCCTCCAAGAAGTAGTTTAGAGAGATTTAGTGCTTCTTAGATCTTATGCTGCCCACAGGCCTCTCCTTCTTGCCACTAGAAGGTGACTTCCTAGTACACGCACCTAGAACAGGCAAAGTCAACCTGAACTTGCACACGAGAAATTGATGATCTGGTCCACAGTCAGCCTCTGCCCTGGTTTCAGTTGTTAATACTGAGGTTCTCCATCTTCTCTTCCCACCGATGCTGTCCGTTGGATTCCTGTGTTTGTGCATGGAGAAGTCCATGAATCCAGTCTCCACTTGAGCTGTTGAAGGTGGACGTGCAAGTGGTTGGTCTTGCAAAATTCTATCATGCAATCTACAGACTGTAGTATTAAATTAAAATGGTTATAGTGGGATGAGGGGCCAGCCCCCACCGCTAATACTACTACTACCCACGGGTTCAGTAAGTACAATTGTACGGCTGAGATATTTAAGTATTATATTAAAGTCATCGAGAGCATGAGAGATAATACAATAATACAGTCAGACATATTACATG